TTTTTTTTTTGTTTTGTTTTGTTTTATTTTTAAATAAGACAGAACAATATGATAAAAAATAACTGGAGGAAGATGGGAGAATATGAAAGAGTATTTAAGAAAGTTTTCTTTTAAAAAATCAATCTGAGACTTGAATGACAAAACAGTACCAGTCATCCAACCTTTGGCAGGAACAAAGTTGGTATTTGGGAGAGACAGAAGTAAGGCCAATGGAGCTGTAGGCAAAACAGGGTAGCAGGATCCAGATCACAGACTCTGTGGCCATAGAAAAAGTCTGGAACTTATGGTAATGGGAAGCCATTAGAGGACTTTAAGTGCCAGAGTCACTTAATTAGATTTGCTTGAGGGGCAGATATAGGCACAAGAAGAGGTACTTGTGAAACTAAAAAAAAAAATCTGCCCTCACTAGACTGAAGAATAGTTACTAGAGGATCACGTAAAATAAAGTTATGATAGATAGTGTGGTCCAGAAATGGTTTTAGAATTGATGTGATAAAAAAAGAAAAGAAAATATCATTAACGGTTATGATAAAGGTCACATTTAAGTGAATGGTAGGCATTAGACTGTAGCCTTTTTATCTCTTCAAAGCAGATAAAAGAGGTAAAAAACAGAATTAGTCCTCCTGGAACAGATGTTTTCTTCCAGGAGTTTAGTGTTTAGATACTGATACTCAATGAACTCTTGGACAGAAAGGGCCTGCATGGTGCAGGGTCAGGCATGCAGAAGACACTCAACACATTATAGTTCCTTCTCTTCTTTCCTCCTTTCCCCTTTGGACCGGAAGCCACCAGTCAAAATGGAATTCCTAAAGGATGGATGTAGAGTTGCCAGAGACAAACTATAGGAAACAACCCTCTTCTAGATGAAAATGCACTGCAGGGCTTGACTAAACATATATCGTGCTCCATTCTGGCTGTAATGCCAATGAAAGATTTCTCCACCAGAGGTTTACAGATTGCATGAGAGGTCAATGTATAATGCATATTATAGCACAATAACTGCTCTAATATGGTTTAAATAAAAGAACCTGGGAATATAGTAGTGATAGGATGGGATATAGATGGGAATATTGATATGATAAAAAAAAGAAAGAAAATATCCCATCTATAGTAGTAGTAATAGTAAAAGAATCTTCAAAATAAGAATAACTCTAAATTCAAAGTTGCTGACTCAAGTGAGAATTTCAATGAACATTGCAACCATTGTTTTCTGGAATGGGAAGGGAGCAAGAGCAAAATAAAATAAAACAGCATCTTATTAGAACTGTAATTAATTGCTCTCTGTTTTATTTATTTATTATTTATTTATAAATATATTTTATTGATTTTTTACAGAGAGGAAGGAGAGGAGAGAGATAGAGCTAGAAACATCGATGAGAGGGAAACATCGACCAGCTGCCTCCTGCACACCCCCTACTGGGGATGTGCCCGCAACCAAGGTACATGCCCTTGACCGGAATTGAACCTGGAACCTTTCAGTCCGCAGACTGATGCTCTATCCACTGAGCCAAACCAGTTTCGGCTGCTCTCTGTTTTATGTGGGTCTTGATCCAGACAACACTAAAGATAAGGTTATATCTTGTAACATCTGCTTCCATTTTGGTCTCTGGGAACAAATATGCTACTATGCTACCAACTGTGCTACCCACCCAAGGCCAAAGGCAAGATTTTCAAATAAGCTTGAGATAGTGTAAAAGTCTAGTATTCGACCAAATCATCTAAAACTCAATTCCATTTATAACTAAAGTCAAGCTGGGATCCTCCTGCATTACATTTTTACCTGCACCTCAGCAGCCCCAGCCTGCAGTTTGGCTGCCGGCCAGCCCGCCAGCCTCGGTCAGCTGTGCAGAGGCGGCAGGCAGGAAATGCTGGGAGGCACTGGGGCCAGGTGGCCTAGGCACAAAGGCCACAGATTTCTCTATTCCAACCCAGAAAAGAATTGAGATAGACCTTATCACTTCCTAAGGACACGTTCTCTGGAATTCTTCCAGACTTTCTAGAGATGTAAATCTGAATGTTCACCTCAGGGTCTTCCGTCATCATGGACTAAGGGCTCCATCCAAACCAGGCAAAGAGCTCTCCTTTGGGTCTGGAAAGGCCTGAAAGTGAGAACGGGGGAAATGGCACTTCGTCTCTTTAGTCTGAGGCCTGTCCTTCCCTCACACCGGTGGCCCACATATTAAAACTTTCCTATCCCATAAGTAGGTGGCATGAAAGAGAGAGAAATGATACATATGAAACAATCAGTTACAAAATCATTTGCTTTTGGAAGTTAAAGATGCCACAGTGGCCGAAACCGGTTTGGCTCAGTGGTAGAGCGTGGGCCTGCGGACTGAAAAGGTCCCGGGTTCGATTCCAGTCAAGGGCATGTACCTTTGTTGCGGGCACATCCCGGTAGGGGGCGTGCAAGAGGCAGCTGGTTGATGTTTCTCTCTCATCAACGTTTCTAGCTCTCTATCTCTCTCCCTTCCTCTCTGTAAAAAATCAATAAATTAAAAAAAAAAAAGATGCCCCAGCGAATGTATAAAAATCCTGTTGATGCAAAGCTCCCAAAGGCCCACCCGCCAGGCCTTGTTCACTCTGGGAAGCAGCAGAAAGCCTGGCCATGACCTGAGGGGCTGCGTTCAGTGTAGAGAGTGGCAACAAAGGCAAAGTGGGGCCCTTTGCACTGCCCTAGGCCAGCTCTTGCCAGTCAGAGGTGCCAAGAGGAAGCTTCTGGAGAGAGTTTTGGACAAAGGCTACCAGCCAAACCAAGCAGCTCAATCATGGCCCAGATCAGGGAAGGCTCCTGTAGAGTCCACACCCACATCCCCTCCCCACACAAGGGCCATGCTGATGTGACAGGTCATGAGTAACACAAGTGCCTCTTTAAATAAGTGGAGTTATTGTACAACTAATACATATGGAGAAATAGGAAAGAATTTACTCTGTATTTTCTGTAAGAAAATAATGTGCTAGGCAATTTAAATGAATACACACAGGTAAGTTATATGGAAGGGCGTGGTATTCAATGTCATTTTCACTTAACTGCAATTCTATCTATTCTATCTATCTATCTATCATCTATCTATCATCTATCTGTATCTATCTATACAGTAACTCCAATCAGAGTTTGATCAAAAGCATATTAAAGCAGTTATTGTGCTATATCTTAACAATCTTAAGATTTCACTGGTGTGTTTCTATTAAATAATAAAAACTTAATGATAGGAAATATAAACAGGTTTTTCCCCTGCTGGATGCAACAGAAAGTATAATATGCTAATGTGCTTTATGAATTCCCAGGAGAAAAATAAAGTATCTAGCAGCTTCAAACTGTTTTGATCACAGAACTGCAGGACAGAAGATTTTGTTGGACCAGAGAGCTGTGTAGCACGATTTTGGAAATGCTGCTCCAGTGAATTCTATACTGCTCTACAGTATATGAGAGCTATTGTGCACCCCCTGAGAAGCTAAGAATATAAACCATGTGAAATATGAGCATATGGAATTGAAAAACATATACCAGGGTATATACATTAAGGAGTTAATTAACTAATCAATAGACAATGCCTAGAAAAGTTATTAATCATATTAATCAATGAGGATGTACTAAAATAAATTAAATACACTTGGCCAAGCAAAACAAGGTCTTTAGCTTCAATATAAATCCCTTGCTCTCCCCAAAGGAAACGAGTGTAAGTCAAAGCCCCGTGGCAAGTGAGTGCATGCTCAGGACTAAAGCACCCTGCCAAAAACAAGTCATACTAGCCCTTTACTGTGGAAATAAAATATAAAACTCTTCCCCCAGCCAAGAGTTCCATTAGAAAATGAAAAAACCAGCCTCGGCACAGATACAAACGCTCGCCCTTTAGGCTCCCAGCCAACTTTCTGGCTCTGGGTTCCTTTGGTGCTGTGCCCACTGCAGAGCTGAGGAGGTAGGAAGGGCATCAAACACAGGCCACCTGAGCCAACAAGGCTTCTGTGACGTGCAGAGCACACCATCTGAGAGCCTGCACCTCCTGATATGAACAGGGTGTTCAAATTGGGGGTGTGGGAGGGGGGCAAGGTCAACCCCTAAGCAGAACAGCAAGGCACTCAACATCCTCTTATAGCATATTTTGGTATAAATAAATAAAGTAACAATTTGTGTATGTGTGTGTATACTAGTATACATATATACATATACATGTGTATATATGTACATGTACCTGTGTGTGTATATACACACACATACATACACAAACAAGATGTCTAGAAGCATATAAATCAAAATGTTAAAGTGCTACACTTCACTGCATGTCAATTATACTTAATAAAGTTGCTTAAAATTTAACAGTGGTTGTCTCTAAGTTAGGAAAGATTATTGGCGATTATAATTTTTTTCTGCTTGTCTGTATTTTCCAACATTTCTTGACTATGTATGCACTACTTTTGTACTAAAAACATGTAAAAATTATTTTCGAAAAATCTTACACAATTCGTTCAACCTTTTTTATGTTTGTGCAGTTCTTTGTGCTTCATCTAGAGTTTCTCCATATTTAATCCCTAAAACTGCAGACAGAATGTGGTCATCATTCCAGACAGGAGGAACCGGCTCTGCGATGTTACGGAATTTATTCCACGTCAACGAGGAGCTAGTAACCAGCAGAGCCAAATTGTGAATCCAGCTCTCTTTCCACAGGAACAGACTTCGTACAGGACAGAAGTAGAATTATTAGATAAGATTTATGCAAAAAGAATCATTTTTTCAAACTCACTGTTGGTTAAGGGAAGAAATGTGAAAAACCAAGGAAGGTTTGGAGACCCAGGAGGCACAGTGAGAGGAACAGGAAAACTTTCCCTCCTCGTTGCTACATCAGACCCTTTGGGCTTCATTTCAACCCCATTCAGAAAGGGAAAGGGAAATTTGAAGAAAAAAAAAAAATGGGACCAAACACTTGGGGTGACAAAGTACATACAGGTGGCACCAACAATGAAATAAAGTGAGAGGTATTCAGACTCCGCTGTCTTGGAGGTACCTTCATTCCTGCCGCGGCCGCAGGGCCACTGGGGTCCACGGCCTGGATGTGGCATGGCTTGCTTCCTCGCACCACAAAGCCCCAGCCAACAGCATCACCAACAATCTAGAGAGGAAAACCGCAGTGAGCGATCAGCTGAAGGCCCCTGGCAATTCTCCCGACCTTCCCAGAGACAGAGAGACAGCCCAGGATGAAGTGCGAGCAGTGGCAGATCTCTTCTGTCTCATCTCTACCCTGTCAGGAGTGGAAGGAACGCTCTGCTTCTATTATAAACACAGGCATCTCCATGCAGAAACTGTTGTCGGGAAACACTTGTTTGGCAGAAAACAGCTTCTGTAGAGGCCCTGATCAATAAATACCAGGCAGGTTGCCTCTCTCTCAGGCCACTATACAATTTCATCAGCTAGGAAGGATAAAAGGTCTTAAACATATGCTTGAATCTTCTCTCCATATCCAGTTTCAACTGGGTTTGCTCTTTCCTCCTAAATTCAAATGATACTTTCTTGATGATCTGCTATGTCACTATAGTCTAAAATAGTAATTTAAATTACTAATGGAAAGAAATAGGAAGAGTCTTGGCTTTCCTGAAACACAATTTTCTACCAACAAAAGAAATTGAAAGGGTACATAAAGCTCACAATTTACAAGTAGATGCTGTTCTAAAAGTTATTTGAAGCCAGAAGGCGCCTTTTCCTATAGAATCATTGTTAGAAATAGCAATTCCATCCCTGGGCGGTTCCTAGTCATGTCTTTGACTAAAGTATAGATGAAATACATTCACAATCAATTCCTAGCAAGGCAATGAAATTTAAAACCATCATCAGGGATGGAGACAGGTTGAAGGGGGTTAAGGGGGGTGGAAATGGACCATATGTAATACTTTCAACAATAAAGAATTTAAAAAATAATAGTTTAAAAAATCAGGAACAAAAAACAAAACAAAACAAAACAAATTTAAAACCAAAAAGAAATACTTTAAAAATACAATCAAGCCTGGCTGGCTTGGCTCAGTGATTGAGCGCTGACCTATGAACCTGGAGGTCACAGTTTGGTTCCCAGTCAGGGCACATGGTCCAGGTTTCTGGCTTGATCTCCAGTAGGGGACATGCAGGAGGCGGCCGATCAATGATTCTCTCTCTTCATTGATGTTTCTAACTCTCTCTCTCTCTCTTCATCCTCTCTAAAATCAATTTTAAAAAATGTTTTTTAAAAAATGCAATCAGCCAAAACCAGTTTGGCTCAGTGGATAGAGTGTTGGCCAGTGGACTGACGGATCCCAGGTTCGAATCCTGTCAAGGGCATGTACCTTGATTGCGGGCACATCCCCAGTGGGGAGTGTGCAGGAGGCAGCTGATCTATGTTTCTCTCTCATTGATGTTTCTAACTCTCTATCCCTCTCTTTTCCTCTCTGTAAAAAATCAATAAAATGTTTTTAAAAATGCAATCAATTGTCTCTTGAATGCTAGATACCGAGAAAAGGCAGGGAAACCTATGACATTTCTGTGTATATTCTCAAAAAGACAGGCACATGATTGATTTTAGGGTTTTCTGTCATTAGTTCAGAATACCTAGTTTCACCCCCAAATGCAGTTTAACTTTTCCCCTGATACAGATGTGTTAGCAGTGTGTTTTCATATTGACTGACTATGACTGGGACCATCCTATTGTAGCTCCTCAGTGTCCAGAATGGGAAGTAGTCCTTGACAGACGTTTGCAGTGTAAATGAGTGTGCAAAGATCTTTCTTCCCCACTAAATCCATAAAGTAAAGTTAGAAAAGGAGAAGTATTTGTTTAAAAGAGGCAATTGAGGGAGATGTGAAGAGACTGAAGGGAACGGAGAGGGGGTGAGGTTCTGTCAAGCAGGAGTGTGGGAAGAAGGCTGAGGGACCTCCAAGAAGGGGCAGGTGCTCAGGAGATGCTCACAGGTACCTAGTACCCCCCAATCAGGTGTGTGTAACAGTTAACATAACTCAAGACATGTTAACACGGTCAAAAGCACCACTTCTTATAGTAGGACAATTTATCCCAGTTTTCTTTCTCTGTCTAAAGATTCCCTAATGTCTTAAACAATTTAAGTAGAACTAACTGTAACCCAGAAGAAATTATTGACTATTGTACTACCATTTTCCCTAAAATCTGTAATTATATTACACAATAGAAAGCTTTTTTTAAGGACACATCAAAAGGAGTTTAAAATGCTGTATTAATAATAAATCATGTCATTTTAGTGCCTAAGGATCAAGAAAGCCCACTATTATAATTATGCCAAAAACAAAAAGAAAAATTAAGAGGTTCTTCCATTCCATCTGTAAAATACCCATTGGCACACTGACATGTGGACATGGCCCAGAAAAATGAGCAGCACAGGAAAAACAAAAACAAATAATGAGCCTACTGTGAATGTCTTCCTGGCATACGGTGCTCCGGGAGTCAGGAGTTCCTCAGAAGTGACAGGCCTCTTCAATACTGTAAGACAAACACAAAAGCAAGGTGCACCCTTCATTCATTCATTCATTCATTCATTCATTCAGCAAACACTTTCCTGAATGCCTCATGTGTGACCAGCGGGGAACAAAAGGGGGAAAGATCCCTGCCTCACAATTATAATCCAGCCAAGTAAAGACAGCAAATATTAGCAAACATAAATAAGCCCATACCTAACTTACAGAGCTACGGAAAAAAAGAGTAAATGGACTAGGTAAAGGGAAACAAGGAGTAGATTAAGGAGTGGGCCAACATCCATCCCCACATGCAGTAACAAGTGTTATTTTCTTCTGATGAGAACTTTTAAGACCTACTCTCCTAGCAATTTTCAAATACACAATGCAATGCTATTAATTACAGTACATTATATCCACAGAACTTATTTATTTTATGACTAGAAGTCTGTCCACCTTCTAGTTTGACTACCTTCTTCCATTTTGCCCACCCCCCATCTCTGGCAACCACCAATCTGTTCCCTATATCTATGAGTTTGACTTTTAGATTCCACATATAAGTAAGATCATATAGTATTTGTCTTTCTCTGTTTGACTTATCTCTTAGTATAATACCATCCATTTTATTGCCGATGGCAGGATTTCTTTTTCATGGCTAAATAACATTTATATATTTTTATATAATTTACATAATTATATAATTCACACCCTTAAGGGTGCTGGGAACCCACAGATCTTTGCATCAGTTGCAGTCTGGGGAATACAGATGTGCTGCTCAAACCCTCCTTCAGGACTGACTGAGGGGCTCCTCCCAGTTGCCAGAATTGCTAATGGCAGATAGCCTTCAGATGCCAATGCTCTCAATTGTTTGTGCAACTATCTCTCTTGCTTAAGGTCACACCCTCTTCCCAGGGGCAGCCAACACCTAATGACTAATCAGCATGAAGGTACAAAGGCCTGGCCATCTCACCTGAAATTTGGACAACTGTGAAGGGCTATCCCAAATTCACAGCTCCCCTTGGAATTAGCTGCAGCCCCTGCTGAGAGGGCTTGTAGCTCTGCTTTCCTCTGCCCGGCCCTACATTCCTCCTTCCAATAAACAGTTTTGACCCTAAAGACACACGATAATAAGATCCCCACACACTAGTCTCCCTCAGTCTGAGAATCTGCTTCCCAGGGAACCCAGCCCGCACATCTGCCCAAGTGCCACAGGTCATAGTCAGAAAGAGGAGACTGCCTTTCAACCACTCACCAGACTTGGGGTTGCAGAGCACAGGGGGGCTGCTGCTGAGGGTGGGGCTGCTGCTGAAGTAGCCACTGCTGCCACAGCTGCTCATGCTGCTCCTCCTCACGGCAGACACGATCTTGATCTCCTTGCTGGGGCTGACTGCGGGTGGGAAAACACAAGGACACTGAGGGTGGTGGTCTTGGTTCCCTAGAGCACATGGGCTTTCAGCCGCCAGGTACAGAGGCCAGTTAGTTACCTGTGCCAGGGAAAGCATTATGGCTTCTGAGTGAGAAAAGCAAGGATTTGAGTAGCAACTCCGTCATTTACCAACTGCATAACTTGAGGCCATTTCCTTCAGTTCTCCGAGCCTCAATTTACCCAACTATAACGTGATAATAATACTCTATCAAGGATTGGTGCATAAAGTGGATTATATAATGTATGTGCAAGTACTCAGCTACATGAAATGTTATTTCAAGAACCACTAAGCCCATGCTGAGCAGGCCCTGGAAGGAAGGAAATTAAGTGTTGCTATACACTTAACCAATTAACAGTACTGATAAATGCCTCCTGTTTTCCTATGAAATCATGAATCACCCAAAGCCATGGAAGAAGAGACTAAAATACACAGCGCATATTTAGGCTGTGAAAGTGTATATGAGAGAGGCTTCAATGATCTTATCTGGCTCTCTCTGCCATGAAGTTGGCTGGTTCTCAAGGGAGAGGAGAGCCAGCTATATATGATGAATGAATGAAGCCATGGAGAAAACGCAGCTTAGTGCCTGGCACATGAGAAGCACACACAAAAAAGCTGTTTTTATGGTAGCCATGGTTACTATATCCTCATTCTCATCATCATTACTTATTCTGTTGGGCCCATTAAAAAAAAAAGACAAAATTTAGCACTAGTGAGAATGTGAATAGTTATTCTGAATTTACAGAAAACTGTGCTGTAGGGCACCCATAAAATGGGGAGAAGAAAAATCTTTCCTCTTCAAGTTATTATGAGAATTAAATGTGCAATCAAGCTTGACTCACTGATAGGGGCACAGAACATTCTCAATACAGTCCTCATCATCACTCCCTATCCACAGCCAAGACACCCATGGACGTTTTGCCCTCAGGTTAAGCCCAGAGCATTCAGACCTTAGGCCAACCACAGTCAATGCCAAGTTTTCAGAGGAGCTGATACCCATTTACGCTCCTCAGCCTCTTACACAGAATGACACATCAGGCTAGCCTCTTCTGGATGAATGCGATTATCTTTGAGAACATCAGTCACCATCATTTCTGTGAGGCTTCACTATCAGTATGAGACTGTTTAATCTTACATGTAATAACCCAGGCTATTGTGCTTTATGAGCTAATGTCTGCTTTGCATAGTGTCACCCTTTCATAAGTGATTAATAACCAGTTGCCTTTTTTTTTTTTCCCCTGAGAGAAGCATGGGCTGGAGGGATAACCAGTTGCCTTTTAGTTGCATATGCCCTCAGAAATCTTTATTCATCCTTAAAATATATGGCTTTTCAATGCTTAGAACACTGTATAACTAATGACAACAACTGTTTACAAATGAAAAGTAAATAAGGTATGACAGCTTAATAGGTGTTCTTTTTTCTTATTTATTGGGGTGACATTGGTCAACATGCACATATAGGTTTCAGGTCTTCAGAATTTTTCTATAACTCAAATACATAATTTTATAAAACAGACTTCATGATAATCTAATTTGACTCCCCAAGAACAATTTGGTTGTTGTTGTTTTCTTTTGCATGCTTCTTGGTCATGAATAAATAAAAATTTGCTAGAGAACAGAATTTCACAAAGGGGAGTTATTACTATATTATTTCTCAAAAGACAAAATCATGTGATTGGCTTAGCAAGGGAACTGACCTACCTGACATGAAACTGGTAGATTTCCGGTTGTCATGGCTCTGCTTCCTCAGGCAGAAGGGACTGTCGTGCGTTTCCTGGGAAGGGGATTTTTCATTGAGCAGCTCCATGAGTCTTCGCCTCCGCCGGAAGTTCATTCTGAACTGGTAGAGAAGATTGCTGTCCACGAATGGGTGCTTGTTGGACACTGAGGAGAAGAAACAACAGATGAGGACTATCTGATGTCCTGGCCACTGAGTACTTCAGCCAGAAGACTCCAGCCAAAAGGCTTAAAGATGGAATTTAGAGCTTCTGCTCAAGATAGTGCATGGGTAAATGCAATACTCGCATCCTCCCACAACTATATAAAAAATACAACTAGACTATAGAACAATCTAACTGAAACTCCTGAAATCTAGCTGAACAGAAGTCCTACAACCAAAGTTATAAATAAGCCACATAGAGGCTGGTAGGAGGGACAGAGACACAATACGGCCTTGTCCCTCACCCACATGTGGAAGATGAAAACATACCCACAAGGCAGGGGGCACACCTGGAGTGCCCAGCTCAGATGAACAAGAAGTCTGTGCCTTGGGACTCTACAGGATGTCTACTACAGTGGGCCACTTTATCAAGCCCACGAGATGTAGCAGCTCTACCTAATATGTACATAGGTAGGCTGTGAAATTAAGAAAACAAAGAAACTATGAATTTAGTACTGGTTTAAGTGCTTTATATGTATTAATTCTTTAAATTATCACAGCAGCCTAGGATAAAGATAAACCCAAAGAAGATTCCAGTTAATGGCAGAGGTAGAAGTAGGACCACCACATATGACTCCAGAGTTCAAGTTCCAAACCACTACTCTGCACTTCCTCTATGACAAGTAATTCCTGTGCTTGTTTAGGTTGTCATGGAGAACTGAAACAGCAACAGTCTTTACACTATAAACTAAACAGACAATAGTCACATAGCACATTGCCAATATAAGATCTACATTTATGTTAATGCCAAAATAATTATTGGGATATTAAACACTTGGTACATGGTCTCAAAAAGTAGTCATATTCCACATGCTTAAAGTTATAAAATGTGGGATTAAGCCTATTTTTCTGTGTGTTTTTAACTTGATGTTATTTATACTGTAATAAATTTCTTTTAATAGCTAAAGGCAGTCAGAAATCCTGCATCTTTGAAATAAATTTAGAAGGTTCATTTGTTTGTTTATTTTGCTTGAATTTTCAGCAAGACAGGTCAAAACATGGTTTTATTCTTAGAGATTATGCATTTTGTAACAGCTTTACTAAGATACAATACACATAACATATAATTCACCCATTTAACATTACAGTTCCATGGCTTTTAGTATATTACCACAGTTGTGCATCCCATCATCACATTAATTTTTATATCTTCATCACCCAAAAAAGAAACCCCTCATTCCTTAGGAGTCACTTCCAATCTACCCATATCCCCTAGTCCTAGGCAATCACACTAACCTACAATCTGTCTCTATATAGTTGAGTATTCTGGGCATTTCATATAAATAGAAACATACAATATAAGGTTCAGTGTGACTGGCTTCTTTCACTTAGTATAATGTTTACAAAGTTCATCCATGTTCACCCATGTTGTAGCATGTGACAGTACTTCACTCCCTTTTATTGTCAAATAATGAATAATATTCCATTGTATGGAGACACCACATTTGTTTATCTGTGCATCAGTTGATGAACATGTTTCCACTTAGTGGTTATGAATAATACTGCTATTAACACTCAATACTGCTATTACACATTTTTGTGTGGACATACATCATCTTTTCCTTTGGGTTTATAGCTAGGAGTAGAATGGGAAGATTATATGGTAACTCTATATTTAATGATTTGAGGAATTGCTGGACTTTTCTCCAACTGGGATACTCCATTTTACATTCTCATTTATAGCAGTGTGGGTGATTCTAGATTCTCCACATCCATATGAACATTTGTCATTGTTCATTTTTTTATTATACTTATCCTAATGGGTATGAAGTGGTATCTCACTGTGGTTTTGATTTGCATATCCCTGATGATTAATGATATTAAGCATGTTTCTATGGACTTACTGTCCATTTATGTTCTTTTTCTTTCTTTTTTTCATTTAGCCAAAGGATTTATTTATTTATTTATTTATTCCCCCTTATTTTCTTTTATTAAATTATTATCTGTGTATATAATTTACCATTGTCCCCCTCCCATACATACCTTCCCTCCCCAGAGTTTTGTGTCCATTGGTTGTACTTATATGCATGTATACAAGTCTTTCGGTTGATCTATTATCAGATCTCCCTACCCTCCCCCCTGTAATTTGACAGTCTGCTTGTTGCTTTACTGTCTCTTATTTATATGTTTTCTTTGGAGAACTGTCTATCCAGATTCTTTGTCCATTTTTTTTAAATTGGGCTGTCTTTTCTGCGGAGTGCGGCACCGCACCCGCGTCCGTCTAACCTCAGCAGCTCCAAAGCGTAGATGTATATTTTGGTATATTTCTGGGATATTAAAAAAAACGTTGTTTAACTTCTCGTTTGTTTCCGTGTAAAGTCATAGCATGAAAATAACTGAACTGTCCTATTCTTAGTAGTTTGAAATAATAGTATTTTTGTATGTTGGGGTGTGTCTCTGTATGTATTGACATCAGTTTTCACTGCCTCGGAGTTCCTAATAAAAGAAATGAAACGCAAAAAAAAAAAAATAAATAAATAAATAAATAAATAAATAAATAAATAAATTGGGCTGTCTTTTTAATAATGGATTTTATTTCATTTTTTTAATTGCATTTTCAATTACAGTTTACATTCAATATTATTTTGTATTAACTTCAGGAGTACACCATAGTGATTAGGCAATCACATACTTTACAAAGTGTTCCCTCTGATATTTCCAGTACCCACCTGGCACTGTACATAGTTATTACAATATTATTGACTATATTCCCTATGCTGTACTCTACATCCCTGTAACTATCATGTACTACCCATTTGTACTTCTTAATCACCTCACCTTTTTCACTTAGTCCCTCAAATCCCTTCCTATCTGGCAACCATCAGTTTGTTTTCTGCATCCATGAGTCTGTTTTTATTTCATATATTCATTTATTTTGTTCTTTAGAGTCCACATATAAGTAAAATCATATGGTGTTTACCTTTCTCTGCTGACTTATTTCCTTAGCATAATAACCTCTAAGTCCATCCATGCTGTCACAAATAGATTATATATGTTTTAGGTTCCTAGCAAAATTGGGCAGAAAGTACAGAGTTCTCATGTGCTCTCTGCCCCCCTGACACAGCCTCCCCAATCAATTATCAAAAATCTTGCAGTTAGTTACAACTGATGAACCTACATTGACACATCATTATCATCAAAAGTCCATACTTTACATTAGGGCTCACCTTTGGTGTGGTACATTCTATGAATTTAGGTAAGTGTAGAATGATACTAGTATATAGTATCTACCATTACAGTATCAGATAGAATAGTTTCACTGTCCAAAAAATCTTCCATTCTCTGCCTATTCATCACTCCATCCTCCCTAACCTTGGCAACCACCCATCTTTTTATTGTCTCCGTAGTTTTGTCTTTTCCAGAATCTCATGTGGTTGACATATAGTTATAGAGGCCTTTTCAGATTGGCTTCTTTCACATAGTAATAGGCATTTAATGTTCCTCATTGTCTTTTTATGGCTTAATAGCTCATTTACTTTTAGCACTGAATAATATACCATTGTATGGATGTATCATGATTTATTTAACCATTCACCCCCTGAAGGACACTTGGTTGCTTACAAGTTTAGGTAAGTATAAATAAAGCTGCTATAAACATTCGTGTGCAGACTTTTGTGTGAATGTAAGTTTTCAAATCCTCTGGATAAATATGAAGAAGCATGACTGCTGGATCATATTGTAAGAGTCTGTTTAGTTTCAAATCCTCTGGATAAATATGAAGAAGCATGACTGCTGGATCATATTGTAAGAGTCTGTTTAGCCATCTTCCAAAGTGGCTGTATGGCTTTGAATTCCTCCAGCAGTGAATGAGAGCTCCTGCTGCTCCACATCCTCTCCAGCACTTGGCATGGTCTGTGTTCTGGATTTGGGCCATTCTAATAGGTGTGCAGTGATCAAATCTTTTTGATTTGCAATTCCCTAATGACATATGATGTGGAGCATCTTTTCATATATTTGTTTTCCATATGTATATTTTCTTTGGTGACATGTCTGTTCAAGACTTTGGCCCATTTTTTAAATCTGATTGTTCATTTTCTAATTGTTGAGTTTTGAATTCTTTGTTGAATTTTTAATAACAGTCCTCTTTCAGATACATCTTTTGCAAATATTTTCTCCCATTCTGTGGCTTGGCTCCTCATTCTCTTCATGGGTTGTCTTTTTATTATTAAGTTGTAATAGCTCTTCATGTATTCTAGATACGAGCCCTTCATTGGATATATTGTTTCCAAATATTTTCTCCCATTCTGTGAGTTGTCTTTTCACTTTCTTGATGGTATCCTCTGAAGTAAAAAGGTTTTTAATTCTGATGATGTCTATTTTTATCTTTTTATCTGTTTAAATTTATTTTTTCTTTTGTCACTTGTGTCTTTGGTATTGTGTCTAAGAAACCATTTTATACGCATTTAGAAATAACAATTTTTAAAACAGTTCTTTATGTAAACATGAAGAAAAGTGCACTGTGTATGAAGGGGCAAAATGGTAACACTTTGTAAATATAGATGCATGCCTGAATGTTTTATGTATATTGTTTATTTAGAGCTTAATTGTGGAAGATAAATGAAGATTGGGATGAAGGAATTTATTAGCACCTTTAAATCCAGTTCCAGTTTGTAAAATAGCTTAGTTTTCTAATAAAAGTAAAAAAAAGTTTTACATGTTCATTTTTAAAAACTGAAAAATATAGAAAAGCTCCCCTGTTTTGAACAAAATAGAACTATCTTTCTACATACCTACCTAACTATGTTGAGCAAAAAAAAACAGGGATGGAAAATACCAAACTCAGTGGAGAGGAACATTCTCCACCCTTTCCAGCATTTAAATATTGAAGCATTCTTATCCATTTATAGTAAGAATACCTACAGGCTAATCATGTAAAAAAAAATTCCTCATTACTCAAAGAGCTAGGAGTACTAAGAAAAGTTACATAACCAATTCTTGTTCTAGA